TCTCCTCTGGGCAGGGCTGTGATGCTTCTTCTGTGGGAGGAACATAGTAGGACTTGGGTTAGGACGATTCTTCGAGATTTCTGCTGCTGATTTTGTTGAAAAGTGGCACAATAACAGCGGCCTCGTGTTTCATGAGACTAATTCCAAACACTTTTTAATCTTTACATTTTCAATTGATTGCTCATTATTTCCAAAATCTTTGCTTTTGTGTTATTCAGAGGCTATTTCAGGTAGTCACTGTGTAACTCAGAGAAGAAGATGGGGGAGAGGTTAACTACCAGTGTCATTCCGCAGATAGATGGACTGAAGCTCAGCAGTTTAACAATCTTTTTGATAAAAGATCTGGCCAGTTAGTACCAACGGGCTAGAACCGAAGCCTGAAGCCATTGTGCATAGGATTCCTTTCCACAACCTCACAGTTTCCTTCCTGGGTGTGGCCAGAGGCAGAGCCCTGTTTTGTTGTGCCTGGAGCTTACACAATTTTGGAGTCAGACTTTTAAGGAAAATACTCATCACGGAAGCTTGTCTGCTGGTCTTGGAAAGGATCTGAACGAGGGGCCCTGAAAATTAAGTTTCACTGGGTTCCTGGGAAATCTGCCTCTGAAAACACCTGCTGGGAAAAATAAAATTTTTTACATAGGAGTTCATGAACTTTTTTCACTGATGTCCTAAAGGCCACACTTTCCTTGTGGGAAATGACATACTTCCAGAACAATGACAGGCCCTTTCGGAGGCTCTCCAAGCAGATCTAGGAGGCTAAGATTTTCTCACCATAAGAGGACAAAGTCAGTCAAGTATGTCCCAATGGACTAATTATTATGAAGTTCTCTTAAAAATGGCCAGAGGCAGAGCCCTGTTTTGTTGTGCCTGGAGCTTACACAATTTTGGAGTCAGACTTTTAAGGAAAATATTCATTGTGGAAGCTTGTCTGCTGGCCTTGGGAAGAATCTGAAGGAGGGGCCCTGAAAATTAGGTTTCATTGGGTTCCTTGGAAATCTGCCTCTGAAAGCACCTGTTGGGAAAAATAAACATTTTTGCATAGGAGTTCAGGACGTTTTGTCACTGATGCCCTAAGGGCCATACTTTCCTTGTGGGAAATGACATACTTCCAAAACAATGACAGGCCCCATCCGAGGTCCCTCTACAGCAGCGGTTCTCAACCTGTGGGTCGCGACCCCTTTGGCTGTTGAACCACCCTTTCACAGGGGTCGCCTAAGACCATCCTGCATATCAGATATTTACATTACGATTCATAACAGTAGCAACATTACAGTTATGAAGTAGCAACGAAAATAATTTTATGGTTGGGTCACAACATGAACT